CTGACATTTCCCTCCCTCAGTATTACAAGAGGGATAATATAGGGAGGTTCTCGGTTCCCACTGACATTTTACTCCCTCAGTATTACAAGGGGGATAACATACGGAGGTTCTCGGTTCCCCTGACATTTCCCTCCCTCAGTATTACAAGAGGGATAATATATGGAGGTTCTTGGTTCCCCTGACATTTCCCTCCCTCAGTATTACAAGGGGGATAACATACGGAGGGTCTCGGTTCCCACTGACATTTTACTCCCTCAGTATTACAAGGGGGATAACATACGGAGGTTCTCGGTTCCCCTGACATTTCCCTCCCTCAGTATTACAAGAGGGATAATATATGGAGGTTCTTGGTTCCCCTGACATTTCCCTCCCTCAGTATTACAAGGGGGATAACATACGGAGGTTCTCGGTTCCCAATGACATTTTACTCCCTCAGTATTATATGGGGGATAACATACGGAGGTTCTCGGTTCCCCTGAAATTTTACTCCCTCAGTATTACAAGGGGGATAACATACGGAGGTTCTCGGTTCCCCTGACATTTCCCTCCCTCAGTATTACAAGGGGGATAACATACGGAGGATCTCGGTTCCCCTGACATTTCCCTCCCTCAGTATTACATGGGGGATAACATACGGAGGATCTCGGTTCCCCTGACATTTCCCTCCCTCAGTATTTCAAGGGGGATGATATACGGAGGTTCTCGGTTCCCCTGACATTTCCCTCCCTCAGTATTACAAGGGGGATAACATACGGAGGTTCTCGGTTCCCCTGACATTTCCCTCCCTCAGTATTTCAAGGGGGATAACATACGGAGGATCTCGGTTCCCCTGACATTTCCCTCCCTCAGTATTTCAAGGGGGATGATATACGGAGGTTCTCGGTTCCCCTGACATTTCCCTCCCTCAGTATTTCAAGGGGGATGATATACGGAGGTTCTCGGTTCCCCTGACATTTTACCTGAACCTCAAAGGAGGGATGTAGACAAATGAGGTGGTGTTATATGAGTATGTACCGGTAAAGTAGAGTATGATACATGATACATGATACAAAATGATACAAACTGGATATGGTATACAGAAATCATGAACATGGTTCCAAACTACAATATGGCACAACTATGAAATGAATGGAGGGTATCCTGATATATAATAGTACACAATATCAATAGCTTGATGAATGGTCAAGCACTCTCGTTGCACCTCCCATAATTTCTATAGCATGATACTGAAGCAGTTGAAGTGGAGGTGATGTTGACAAACGATGACGGATGGCGTAGAAGCAGGCCATGACATAAATAGGCTCACTTTGGCTTGTAGCCCTGGTAACATGAACAGTCTCCCTCTTCCTGTATCTTAACCAATTTTTACACAAAGTGCAAAAAGATATGTTATGTTTTACATCACTGAATGACTGTCAGACATGGAGAGGAGTGAGTGAGTGAGTATGTTTTTACGCCGCTTTTAGCAATATTCCAGCAATATCACGGCGGGGGACACCAGAAATGGGCTTCACACATTGTACCCATGTCGGGAATCGAACCCGGGTCTTCGGCGTGACGAGCGAACGCTTTAACCACTAGGCTACCCGACCGCCCCGACATGGAGAGGAAAAAGATGAGGAAAAGCCAATCATTATTGCACATCTTCAATCCGAATATTTCTTGTTCATATGACATTAATTTGCATCACTGTCATGTCTGCAAAATACTCATAAACTATTTTCAAATCCTACATGGTTCCTTTCAAACTACTGACGTAAATAATATTATCAATAATAAAATATAAAAACAATAAAAAGATGGAACAACAATAATATTGTTTCTTTTTTCTTTTCACATTGTTCTTATACATATATTTATACTACAATGTGTGTGTGTGTGTGTGTGTGTGTGTGAGTTGGGTTTTACGCCGCTTTTAACAGTATTCCAGTTATATCACGGTGTGTCAGCTAATGTGGGAGGAAAGCTGAAGTGATGCAGGTCTCAGATGTTTACCACTTTGGTGAAACCCACGAGCACGGGTATGGTGCTGACAAACCTAGAAACATAATCGGGGCGAACCGGGATTCGAACCCACAATCATAGGTTTCTGGCGTGCCCAAGGGACGCAACTCTGCACAGCGAATCGCGGCGCCTCAGACGACTGGGCCACCCGTGCCCCCTTTTACTACAATGTACATAGGGGTGAAACGGTACATTGGTGCACTGGTGCATCATGGGTTTTCATGTGACGATACGCTACATGATACATTTTTCACTGTATTGAAACAAGACGATACACTTGCTGAAATAAATTACTTACTACTTGCTTAATGACCCTTGGCGTTTTTGTCAGTCAAATACAGCAAGATGTGTTGTAATTAGCGTTTCAAATTCACTACTAAAAATAGCTTCTACAAACGTGTCTTCAGCTAGCTTTTCCTTTTGAACCTGCTCTGAAATATTTCTTGTCAAGAATTTTCCATGCGATATGACGTAAATATGCATATGGTGATACGTATCGTATCGTATCGTGACCTATGTATCGTGATACGTATTGTCTCGCGACCTTGCTGTATTGTTTCTCCCTAATGTACACGTATGAATAATGAAGCTACTTGTCCACTTAGTTGCAGTCAGAACAGAGTCAAGTCTCTGGAACCCCCCCCCCCCCATTTCATAAATTTGACCCCAGCTGAAACATTCCAAGAAGAAGCAGATACTAACAGTGCACTAATATAAGGCAACAAAACTAATCCTACGTCACAGACTTGCTGAAAACATTGATTCGATTTTTAAGTTGTAAAAATATGCTATTTTGACTCTCTTCGGAATTCTTAGGTACTTGATCATTGCCAGAAGTCAAACACTTGCAAGTCTAAGAAGAAAAGTAGTAGCTGTCAGCCATTTGAACATCATAATTTTCATTCCAATATTTTACTTTCCCTAACTTTATTATTTGACATTTCCAGTGGTCCGAAAAAGGCCCTTATCTTCTTGTCCTTTCAACACTAAAAAAGAAGGAATCAATGTAATCTTGACTCAACAACGGCTACTTCCTGTATGACATCACGATACTATGAAGGAGGTAAAAAACCTCATTCCAGATAACCCTGTATTGCACTTGCATTTCTATATGTACCGGGATAGTCATTTTCACTCATACAAGTCATAAAGTCTTTGATTGTTGTCTAACACAGCACTCGGCAATATTCAAGGCTGAACATAATTGAGCCTGGACCTGACAAACCAGTGATTGATACGAGCAAAGATCCATCCATCACCTAACCCGACCACCGATAAGTTGAGTTGCCAGGGATCAGGTGGGTATGTCATTCAGAGATGAAGGAGTGAGTGAGTTTGGTTTTACGCCGCTTTTAGCAATATTCCAGCAATATCACGGCGGGGGACACCAGAAATGGGCTTCACACATTGTACCCATGTCGGGAATCGAACCCGGGTCTTCGGCGTCAGAGATGAAGGAAGCTGCACGTACAGTAACTCTAAGATGCTCAACACTCAATTCAACATTAATATGATACAGTGCTTCCCTCTCCTTTCTCTGCTTTGTCAATCCCTCTGAAATCAGATCTTTTACTCACACACGATACCTCTCTTCCGATTCTCTGATCAGTCCCCGATGAATTTGGCAATTCCAAAACTGCAGAAATTTACCTTTTGTTATCAATACACTATTTTTCAGTATTTTCAAGCTAAGATGTGATTCAAACATACAAAATATGAATCCTACAATAAAACGAAATTGGAAATAAATTCTAACTTGTAAACATTCTTGTGGTATTATGACGACATAAACGATAAACATCTTACTATCATGTTTACATCTAACCATAAATAAATATTAGTGACAATATGCATATTAATTTGCATAATTGTGTGTCTTTTACAATAATAACTTTATAATTTGACAGTTTATGGAACTACTTCGTTTCGGATTTAGATTCAAGTTTTGGAAAAATGAGATTATAGTAATTTTTTAGGGGGAAAAAGGTATGTTTTTTCAGCAGAATTTAGTAAGTCTAGCCACAGAATTCGTCTGGGACTGTATGATATTTTTAGCTAATCATACATAGATGTATCGTGTCGGAGTAAAAGATACAATCTTAATGAGATTGCTGCTTTGTCAATATTTGATATATCATGATATGTCCAAATGGGTGTATTGATCACATTAATAGATATGTCAGCATTTTTATATGGCGCAGAAAGGTGGTGATTGTGCTGGGATTATTACAGCTACTGTGATGATGTGATGCTGATGGACACCCTGACACAACACACAAGTGATATCCTGATGATGCTCTCACTGTCATGAATATGCATTACAAAATACTTGAAAGAAAAAGTTCATTTCCCTCAATGGCAAATAGCAGGTGATGTGAAAATCACAATTGATTATTGTAAACAATTAATTAAACGTGTGGGGTGTCTCAAAAGTTGCAATCACTAAATCAAATTAAGACAGACTTGCTTTCAATATAGGATATATATTAGCATGCAAACCTGTCAAGAAGGAAGAGAACTTATGGACGTCAACTTCTTCAGTATGAGGAACACAATGTTGATGGCAGAGAGCATACAGGGACATATATATATATACCGTATTCGATGTAATAAGCGCCCCGCTCTAATAAGCCCCCACGGCAATATTTGCTAATATATTGGCGAGTGAACAATCCCATTTAGCACCCCTTCCGATTGATCAATGTACACAAGACTTATTTATTCATGAATAATACGCACTCATGTGTTATATGCACCTGAATTATGGGCAATTAAATTCTGGATAAATATATCTGTCTTGTATAATACACACAGATTTTTATTTTGTATAATTTCAGGCTGTCAGCATAAACCCCGAAATTTACTATCTTTCAACTCTGGTGTTTTTTCTCAAAAACTTTATTCAAATAAGAGCCCCCTATTTCAAATTTTGAGAGCACCCTGGGCGCTTATTACGTCGAATACGATACTCTCTGCCTCATAGCATTCATTTACCTGATGAAGGTGTAAGCATATACTCAGAAACATTGTGTTCCTCATAATAAAGAAGTTGACATCCATATTTCTCTTCCTTATGTGTATCGCTTCTAAATGCCTTTCAAAGATTTAAACCTGTCAAGGCTCGATAAGATGAAGTACTGTTCTACATTCGCGATTTCACTGTCTTCCTAGTTTCTTCCTTTTTGGTGCAGCAAACAGGTCTTTGAGACAGGCCCTCGTTGGTTCTATCATGTCAGCTTAGTTCGGACAGCAGTAAATAGTCTTTGAGCTGTCGCGGAATCATGAAACTATCGACTTTGGTTTGTGGATGGTCACCTAGCTGATCCCGGATTGTGGCACGGCAAAGGTGTTGCAAACTTCGTGGCGTCTGTGAGAGGCGGCAGAGATAGGCACAGAAGTCCTTGTGGCAACTCAACTGCTTCGGGATATCCCCTGACTAAAACAAACAAAAATATTAAAAAAACATATCATGTCCGTAAAATTAAGCATGATTCACGATGTTTGTAAGATTCAAGCAAGACATCATCAGTGGTGTTCACAAAGATCACAATCACTACTCACAAAAGCTTCATCAGGGCGTTGGGGTAGCCTTGTGGTAAAAAGCGTCCACTCGAGCTCGTTACGCCAAAGACCCAGGATTGATTCCTAACATGGGTACAATGTATGAAGCCCAATTGTGATACTGACGGAATATTGTGTAAAAGTGGCTTAAAACCATAATCACTCGCTCACACATCTTCCCGAGACAAGGGCGGTAACTGACCGTAAAAGGCCAGTTTCCATCCTTGCCGAACTAGGCTGGAATTTCCAGGCGCAATCGTAACGCCACCAGTGGCTATTACGAATTATGTCCCTTCTATGCCACTCCTAATGACCAATCAGATTCCATCTCTCATATCACTAGCATTTGCTTCACAAAATTGCCATGCCCAGTCACAATGATCTGATCGATAATCAAGATCCATATTGTAATAAAACGAGTCTTACACAACGAAGTGCATCAAATCACTTGAGCATTGTTGAGCACCTTGATTTATAACATGAAAAGATTTGCAAAATATCTGTCGACGCCCAGTTGACAGTATACATGCTTTGCAAATCCTGCAGTTGACCGAAATCTGCACATTGAAATCCATGCTGTTTACGAACAAGATGTCTGGTTCGTTACGTGATCTTGTTTGGACGATGCATAGACTTGATAGTTCAGCCAAAATATAACTCCGGAATTCCAGCCTAGTTCAGCAAGGGTGGAAACTGGACTTTTACAGTCAGTTAACTCCCTTGCCTCTGGAAGATGTCTCTCACTGAGAGCGTTATCCCCCCAGCTAGCTCTAATACCGGTACTTATTTTCTCTGTATGTCTCCGTGATGGACATGTCACAACAAGGGAGGTCAAGGTCAAGCTGGACAAGGAAGGAATGAAGGAAGGCATCCTTGCAATAAGTAGGACTGATGTTCAGTCCATCCTTTGTCACGTGTATCCAAGTGAGGACAGATCATGATTTTGTAAGTGATTCCAAACATTATCCAATCTGTTAAACCCAGATCTTCCTTCTCGCAAAGCAAAGATCTGAGGACATCCCAATTTTGGGTCATGTCAGAACGACAATTCGTCCGATCAATCTCAAAGCATTCCCTGATTGGGAAAGGGATGGTCAGAATGTGTTTTCACTTGGGGGATCCTTGCAACTATATATAAAGCTTCATTTTGTCTTTGAAAAGAAACAATTCTGAAGGAGATATGTTTAGTTGTCTAAATTTTGTTTGTGTACCCCCGTATTTGTACACAAATATTTGGTGTTTGTTTTGTTTGTTGTTTTACACCGCACTCAGCAATATTCCAGCTATATGACAGCCGTCTGTAAATAATCGAGTCTGGACCAGACAATCCAGTGATTGACGTCATGATCATCGATCCACGCAATTGGGATCAATGACATGCATCAACCAAGTCAACGAGCCTGACTACCCAGACCCGTTAGTCGCCTCAAACAACAAGCATAGTCACCTTTTACGGCAAGCATGGGTTGCTGAAGACCTTTTCTACCCCAATCTTCACGGGTCTAGCTGTCTGAATGAAGTGGAGATGGTACCTACCTTGTTTTTGAATGTGAGCTGGGCTCCGGCCACCACTAAGTAATGTAATACCTCCAACTGGCCGTGAGATGCGGCAAGATACATCGGGGTGACGCCCCAGTTGTCAGCACAGTTGACATCCGCTCCATGCTGGAACACACCCACACAGTTAGTGTTTTGTGATACACTCAAGACATACATCAGACACAGGGGTAGATTTAACAACCAACTTGTATGTAGCAAGCAGGGTTTCCTCCTTTTGAACATGTTGAAGTTCCTGGCCCCTCTCCAAACTAGCTGGCCTACAACTAAATGGCTCTGAACATGCTGAACATTTTAGAAGTCCTCACCCCTAAAACGTTTCTCACTGCACTCTGAGATTAAATTTTGGCTTCCATTTGCCTTATTTCATGGCGATTTATGAGCAAATAAAGCAGGTGTTGTACACAACATTACAAAATGGTGTCCGGTTGTCATTCTACCGAGATGATCCAATTAAAAAAATGAAACATACACAGAGAAGGGGTGAAATTTTGACAAACCAGAGGGGCCATCTACTGAACGTTTCAGCAAGCCCTTTGTAATTTTCATTGGCTAGAGGCCAACAGTTAAATCGACCCCTGAGACACAAGAATGTTGCTTAATCTTGAGGCATTTGATCCTGATAATCACTTTGCAATTGTCAGCGAATGAGTTGGACCTGAACATCTGATTCAGTTAATCACCATGACGACCCATGGGGATTCTGGGTAAGAAAATATGTTCCCTGCAACCCATGCTTGTTGTAAGCGTTGCTCATGATGTCACTTATTGGACTGTCTCAATCGGTCAAGGCTCGATTATTTCCAAACCACTGTCTTATTACTGAAATATTGCTGAGTACGGCATTAAACAACAAACAAACAACAAGATCACCATGATCCCACAAGTCAGATAAATATAAGAAGAAAGTTAAAACTGATGCAGCTCGTAGACATTTCCCATCCCAAACCATCGCTGGTGACAAGGCCGTGACAGACGAAAGAATCAGCATTGTGCATTTAATACTGTTGCTATTGGCATCATTAGTATTGTAAAGGCTGATGTGTTCTGAATGACAGTCCACACTTATTTCATATTTTCTGTATTATTGATTCTCCCACTAGAGCCAAACAACAGACACTTTAACAATGATTCTGCTTTCAATGCTGTTTTAGGTGATGTCTAATTAGCCCCTGTTCTAGGCATGCTAATACTAATAGTGTCACACAGTGATACACTTGTCTACAAGTTGCAATAATGAGCAACAAATACTTCAGGTAACCATGGTAATGGTGACATATTTCCCGTTTTACACAAATATGCAGCTTATACGGGTGAGTGAGTGAGTGAGTCAGTATGCTTTTACACCTCTTTTAGCAATATTCCAGTAATATCACGGAGGGGGACACCAGAAATGGGCTTCACACATTGTACCCCTGTCGGGAATCGAACCCAGGTTTTCGGCTTGATGAGCTAACGCTTTAACCACTAGGCTACCCGACCGCCCCCAGCTTATATGGAGCTCTGAACAAGAAAAGTATGTTTGTTTGTTTGTTTGTTTGTATAACGCCGCACTCAGCAATATTCAAGCTATATCATGGTGGTCTGTAAATAATCAAGTCTGGATCAGACAATCCAGTGATTGACTTAATGAGCATCAATCTACACAATTGGGTTACGATGACATGCATCACAGCGAGCCTGACCACACAACCCTGTTAGTCGCCTCTTACGACAGACCGCCTCCATGGTCTAGTAGTAGAGCGTCCGCCCGGAGAGCAGAAGGTCCGGGGTTCGATCTGGCGCTCGACATTAAGGGGCTAAAACAAGGACTGGTCGGCTCGGAGTCAGTATACTGTGTCTGAGTAGGGTATTCATGTTAAACTGTGTTATGGTATCTCAGTGAGCTAGCACTATAAATCGGTATCAGTCCGGACTAGTACAAGCAGCCACACAAACACACACGCTATATAAGTGCAATAATCTTGGACGCGACGTTAAACCCCATTTCACCTCACCTCACCTCTTACGACAAGCATGGGTTGCTGAAGACCAATTCTAACCCGGAATCTTCACGGGTCCTGTAAAGTATGTCATGGCATGGTACATCTATGAGACTTACCTTTATAAGCAGTAAGGCACTGTCTGGGTACAGACTGACAACAGCGTGCAGAGGTGTCCCGCCATGTCGACACTGCGTGTTCACATGGGCACCAAACTTGAGCAGCTCCTCTATACAATTCTTGTGTCCCTTGTACGCTGCCCAGTACAGAGGAGTCTTTCCATAGTAGTCTTTGCGATTCAGATTGACTGTACCTGGTCAAGTAGGCAAGAAATAGGAGTCACTAGCTAACTCGTGGTCTTAACAATGTCTGTTCGTTCTTTAACGTCACACTCAGCAATATTCCAGCTATATGACGGCGGTCTGTAAATAATTGAGTCTGGACCAGACAATCCAGTGATTGAGATCATGAGCATCGATCCACGCAATTGGGATACGATGACATGCACCAACCAAGTCACCAAGCCTGACCACCTGATCCCGTTAGTTGTCTCTTACAATAAGCGTCGGTTGCTGAAGACCTATTCTGACACGGATCTTCATGGGTGTCTTAACAATGTGAACAGAAGAATTTGTACATTGTTGATGTTATTCCTTTACTGTATCATAAAGAGAGTCGTCAGTACTAAAGGATGCTTACGAAAAAGAAAGATTAAGAAACCTGGAGTCTTACATCACTGTACTTGTGAACATTGATAATCGGAAGGGGTGCTAACTGGGATTGTTCACTAGCCAATATACTAGCAAACATCGCCGTGGGCATTTATTACGTCGAATACGGTATTATTCAACAAATATCAACCCAGACAATATAGTCCAAAGCTTTGTCCAAATGTCAGTTTAAAATTTTGGACAAAGCTTTGGACTGTAAAACATCTCATTCACTTACAGGCTAAAAGACAACTTTATCTTAAAAACAAGCCATCAGCTGACTCTGAGTATTTACAATTTCTGTGTTACGCCACACCCCACGTTATAGTGCAAGTATACGTGATAGAAAACGTATAATGTCCGAAAACCTATGCTGGTGAAAGCTCTGATCGAAAACAGGACAATGCGCGATGGTTGTACGGTTTTCGATCATATTTTTCGGAGTGTTTTTTTTCAATTTTTTTATTTAATTTTTACGCGGAAAAAGATTTTTTCTGAGGACTACTGTTTTAAAATCGCGATTTTCCGCGTTTCCGCGGAGATTTCACATCCCTGTTAAATACAACATCGAACAGACCTGTTTTGTGCAGTATCTCATGAATGCGTCGAACATTCCCATGACTGGCGGCGTAGTGGAGATCTGTCCAGTTGTGATTATAGCTTGGTGGCGAGATGCGGTAACAATACGTGGTTGGTTTGCTGGCGGCAGGAGAATCCTTTACATCACACCATGACAAGCTGCTGCCCCTCACACCCATCATCGTTAACATAACGCCACATGGGTTGCCATTTTCAGTCTGTACATGAAAAGAATTAACTGGACATGTGTTTGCATTACATGCAAAAACAAAAGTAGTCCTATCTCCACCTTTGACTAAATGCCCCCAAAGTGTCCCTCCAAAGCCATGCATCATCAACCATTTGAACTTCTCCGAATCAGGTAACAGCTGACCTTTTTGGCCAATCAGGTGAAAAGAAAATTTCTTGTGACGTTACAAATGTTTCCACACAATACCGTGAAAACTTTCTGAATTCAACTCTTTGCAAGTCATTTCATGAGCGAATGAGTGAGTGAGTGAGTATGGTTTTACGCCGCTTTTAGCAATATTCCAGCAATATCACGGCGGGGGACACCAGAAATGGGCTTCACACAATGTACCCATGTCGGGAATCGAACCCGGGTCTTCGGCGTGACACAAATGCTTTAACCACTAGGCTACCACTAGAGTGAATATGGTTGTACACTCTTTTGTGGGCAATATCACAGCTGGGGATTCCATTAATGGGCCTCACACATTGTGCATAATGAGAGGAATCATCAAACCCCGGTCTTCGCATCGACGAGCGAACATTGTAAACACTATGTCATTTGATGGACTGTCTGGTCCAGACTTGATTATTTACAGACTATCATCATATAAGTAAGGATAAACAACTTCTTTATTACAATGAGGACTGACAGTTGGATGTAGGTTCTAACACTGTTATCAACCTACAACGAAACGTTGCTCCTCTATTTGTATTAAATAAGTTGTTCATGCATATATCTTGTCCTTACTTTATACTCCAACTATTAAATGCCTCTCAAAGAAGTTATTTGCCATCATATTGCTGGAATGTTGCTGAGTTCGGCATTCAGCAACAAACAAACAAACAAAAGCAAACTAAAACTAAAACTTAAAATATTACAGTTAACAATATATAGTCTGAACAGTCGCATGCAAAATCAGGAAAGAACCTGCTGTTTATCTGGGGAAAATTGTTAAACAGAATTATTACATTTACAAATTATATTTGTATTTTCAGTGGTTGAGAAAGGGTCACATAACCTTCTTTAAAACACGGTATTTCCATGAGACCCACCCTGACATGAAGCATTCAAAAGTGATATTGTCCTGTATGGTTAAACCAAAGGACTCAAATGAGAGAAAATATTTTCAACCAATCAGCAAGAGCGTAACATGAAGCTTGTTGTGAAGTAGCATCTCCAAGGTAAACAATATGGCTGCTTATTTCACTGTCATTTGCGATAAGGTAAAAGACGCAATTCTCAACTCAGGTTGAAATATTGTTGGTTTTTATATTATGGGTTCAACATTTTGTTCATGCCTTTGTCAATATCTGATTCTTGGATATTAAAAACATGATATAGTCCTCATGAATCGTAAATAATTAATGAATAAACAAAAAAAACAAAAAAAGTTTTTCATCAAAACATTCTCACCATGAATGTATCATGTAGTCATGAAAGTTTTAGGGACTTCTAAAATCATTGGGGGGCACGCCAGAAACCTATGATTGTTGGTTTGAATCCCGGTTCGCCCCAATTATGTTTCTAGGTTTGTCAGCACCATACCCATGCTCATGGGTTTCACTGAAGTGGTAAACGTCGGGGACCTGCATCACTTCGGGCTTTCCTCCCACATTAAGCTGTCACGCCATGATATAACTGGAATACAGCATTAAACTCAATTCACTCACTCTAAAATCATTGTGAGTGAGTTGGGTTTAACATGTTTAATGCTGCTTTTAGCAGTATTCCAGTTATATCATGGCGAGTCAGCTGAATGTGGGAGGAAAGCCCGAAGTAATGCAGGCATCAGATGTTTACCACTTTGGTGAAACCCAAGAGCGTGGGTATGGTGCTGACAAACCTAGAAACATACTAAGGGCAAACCGGGATGTGAACCCACAATCATAATTCCCAAGAGACTCAAGTCTGCACAGCAAAATGTGGCGCTTTAGACGACTGAGCCACTCATGCTCCCGAAGAAGAAGTCTAATATGATTGAGTGTACTTAACATTCTTTAATGTGATATATAGTGTATGATATACACTGAATCTCAGTTTACTAACTTTGCAAAAGTCTGCTCTGTGCATGTGAGTTTGTGCATTTGGATTGATGTTTGAGACAAAAAAGATTTTGGAGAACGCTACAGAACTGACGACACTTCATTTCCGGTAAGATGGCAGAAACATGGACAATAGTGTATGGTTCGTACAGTGATTGTATATCTAAATTGAAAGAGGAAATTTTCCAATCAAATACACTAAATATCTCACCCATTTTTTAGATACATTTTGGGGGACATTTGGTCATGTCAGAGGGAAAATCTTCTTGAACACCTTCTAGCACCTGAATGCAATCAAAGCCTCGAATACAGATGCACCACCTTATCATGTTTATGTTCAGGAACATGGCATATAGAGCATGTAGAAATACATAAAGAGTTTTATCTGAGTGAATTTATCAAATGTGTCAAGCAGTCCTGGAATATGAAACTTTATGTACAGCAGCAGCAGACGACTGTGACTTCGGACATCAAAAAGGAAAACAATTCAACAAACATTTCAAATGATCGCCACTTTTCCCTTCAGTGGTGGATGCCAAATATATTCTCCAAAACATGTGATCATGACGATGATTCACAAGATCCATACATCACATTGACATTTGTTTTGAATCAGAATACAAAAAGAATACCTAAAAGGAATCATATAAATACTTACAGTTAAAGTTACGAACCTGATTAGAGAGCGTTAAATTTGGGGCTGCGACCTGGTGACAGCGTGAGTGTTTATGTTGTTGTTTATCACCTCGCACCTGCCTAGAGGAAGTGACCTAACAACTACACAAGAGACAAAACATCCGCGAGGAAACATATTACCATTATTCTAAATTAGATCGTTCAGTTTGCTTTTAGTTTAAGTGAAGGTGTAAATATAGTCATAAAATAATATCATGCAAAATATTTTGACGACGGGACTCTATATTTTGTGACCGTAGACAGTGCCATCGCGGAAGTAGTAGCGTAATAATATACTCGTATGTACTTCCGGTTTTTCACGAGCAGACGATGGAGATAGGACGGTTTTTCCGTGTGGGATGTTGATTCTTTTTCATCCGAATACGTTTGTAAGGTAATTAACGGTGAAAGCAACTGTCGTAAGAAGATGTCTTCTCAACTGGTTAAATGCATACATTGAATTTGCAAGTAGAAAATCTTCATGAACTTTCTATCAGTTGTTATAGCCATGCACAACATTTTGCTTCTGCACGAGACCTACAAAATAGGCAAAGAATGGATTTGTCGTGGCATATATATATACATTGTTTTGTCATCATTGACTTCTAAATGTTAAATGATGATAGATCTAAGTGTGTCGAGTCTCGAGGTCTAAAAGCCTTAGTAACGGGATCGGATGGCATGGTTCATGCACAATCCAGTGATTGACATGGTAATTCATGTGTAGCGGCCATAACATTTCCGAGTCTGGTGATGGGATTCGAACCACGGACTTTCTGATCAGTGGTCGGGCGCCTTGTCCACATGATGAAAGAGGTTAACCCCGTCAGCAAGCTGACAAGGTAAGGATGTCATCTGTGAGATGACTACGCCCTGCCATACATACAAATTGAATACGATCAGATGACAATCTATCAAAGTATTCTTACCCGGAATCTCCACGAAGCCGTTAAGACTGATGTGTATTAGTCATAAGACCAATTGACGTCTTTGACAGCCGCTAAGATATTTCTTTTATATTAAATAATTTTACAAGGCTTTAGATACAAAAATGCATTAATCTTCCAATTCTAATCCAGAATCATCGAATGGGATAGAGATAGGATCATGTATATCTTAGTTATGCCATATACATACTGCAGTTTATAAGCTGGTGAAACTAGAAACAGAGATAGGTAGATAACTTTGCAGCTGTTTGCATTCATGTACATGTACTTCTGTTTAACAGGTGTATCATATGAACCCACATGTAGTCATCCCAAGAAAAGAATTATAAGATGGAACAACTTAAGTTTCGACAAGTATGTATATTTGTCACCGGATGGCTATCATATGCATCAACCTACCTGCTGAGGAAACCTCTTGGTGTGGTAAGTAATGTACAGCTGTGTTTGTGTCATAAATAAGGAACCAAGTTACCCACAAGATCCATTCACCTCGTCACAATTTTGAGTCTGCTTCAATTGCTTGCCTTAGCTTCTATTGAATGATCGTGTGAACAGTGGTCATGATTGATGGATGAAATGACAGACACCTGCAATGCTGTAGGCACAATGAATATTATTTTGCATCTCTCGGGACGCAGTAGGGGTGACTATTTGTCTGGAAATCACTATTGCGATAACTATTGCTATTGAAAGAAACTATTGCGATAAACATGATAAATATCAATAGTTTTCGGTGTATCATTTTAGATGGATTTTAGAGTTGACTTAAACCTTGGAACTGAAGTTTCCTTTGAATGTGATAACCATAACAACAAATATAAAGTAAAGTTTGAGATATGACTGATTTGTTTTTTCATTACCCTAATAATTTCAGAAAAAGAAACTTCCACATTACCATGTGTAAAATTCTACCACTCATGATCAAAAGAAAAACAAATTTGAACGGCATTGCATGTATTTTATTGACAGCGTTAGAAATTGGCACTAGTCCTATATAGCCCTTGCCAAACTGCCCAATGGTAAAGGTATCATAAGGACTAGTAGAAATGTGCCCTTTTTAAAGGTTTTGCTATATGTTATCATTATAGGGACTAGTGGACGAAAACTGTTAGTTTCTAACCCTGATATGGTTAATACAGTCGAAACTATCAATATTCCTAAGTGAAATCGATGTTATTGATTGGAATCTGATTTAACAATCAATTTATTGACTTTAAGTGCTTACCAATAGCTATATATCGTGACACCCCTAGTACGCAGTATATATTATTTTGTACCTATTCTATAAATTTGTGCATACTGGACACACGTGTGCCGTGTAAAACCCTGGTTCTTTCATGGTTGTCATTTGATTAACTGCAGTCGCTACTTTCTCAAACTGTTCAAAATTAATCCCTTATTTATTAGCTATTTTAAATACATGTATCACTAAATAGAAACAGAATGGTTCAAAAGCAAATGATTTTACATCCCCAAATCATGGTTCCCATAAGTGGCTTGATTAGCTTGTAAACACAAGATATTGCTGTGACATTTTAATTACATTTGTTTTGCAACTGTTCAGACTAGATCATTGATCTCAAACTATTACTGTCCCTGACAAGGACTGTAGTTTCAAACTTAATGAAAAGGCTGTGTTTTTTACACAGAAATATAATTCCTTATTTTATAAATATTTCTTCAGGCAGGTACTTGTATTTCTATCTTTGTTTGTTTGTTTGTTGTTAACGCCACAGTCAGCAATATGACGGCAGTCTGTAAATAATCGAGTCTGGACCAGACAATCCAGTCATTGATATCATGAGCATCGATCTATACAATTGGGATGAGATGGTATGCATCAACCAACTCAGCAAGCCTGACCACCTGATTCCGTTAGGTGCCTCTTACGACAAGCTTAGTCACCTTTTACGGCAGCATGGGTTGCTGAAGGCCTATTCTAACCCAGATCTTCCCGTGTAGTTTTTTCTAGCTAATAGAATGCCTAAGGAGTGTTGTAATTTCAACAAGCGCTCAGACAATTAAGTTGTGTCCACCATATACATATTGTGACAATAATATAAGACATTTAATTTTAGGTGAAGGCTGACATGGAAAAGGTACTTGGATATGGCAAGACACAGTTGGGCTGGCTTGACACTGCTCTGCTTCTGCCATATGCAGTTATGCAGGTAAAAGGGGCCGGTAATAGTTATGTAAAATAGATGCAGTGAGATGAAAACATGAGGGAATTTTCATTTAGCTGTTATTGTAAGACCTTCCTGAGTCTGAGAAAGCTTCCAGTGCAATTCTTGCCCAAACACTTCATAACAAGTCATGCAATGTGATTGTTTCAAAGAAACTTGCATATGGTTACATGTGTCATATTGGCTTAATTCTTTTCCAGATGCTTCTTGGTCCACTGGGAGATCGGTTTGGAGCAAGGAGAACTTTTGGTTTTTGCCTTATCCTGTCGTCACTGTCAATGGTTTGCTATCAGACTGATTTATACAATGTTAACTTGAACGTTGACTATACATGAAGCTAGCTCCTTGCAGTTACAGTTTTCATGAATCTAACATCAGTAACAAATTGGCACGTCTTTTATGGTTCAGGACAATTTGTACAGTAACAAGGTTTTGCTGACGTTATGCATGAGTCAGTTTGGTTTTATGCTGCTTTGAGCAGGATTCTAGTAATACCACTGTTGGGGACACCAGAAGTAGTCAAATACTAACATTAATTTATAAACAACAGGGCAAAAGAAACATCACTTGTAAATTAAGTTTTATCTGAATTAAAGACGTTGTGATAATTTAAAATGAACATTCACTAAAACACACCCTGTGCACACATGCAAGTCACCTTTTGCAGGATTCTGTGAATTTTGTGCAGTTATGAAAAATGTGAAAAACAGGATTTTGGGGAACTGTTATTAGTATTTAAAATGTTTGTGCATGAAATGTTGAGACGGCAGATTGCAAGAACCTTTAACTGCAGTCAAACCAGTATCAGCAACTTGTTGAGCCATTATCAGCAAACACAAGACCGTCCAAGATCAGGAAGACCAAGGGTCACAATGCCAGTTGAAAACCGCTACATCCGGACAATCCACATGCAGAACAGATACATGAGCACTGGGACACCCCATCAGCAGTGGAAGAGTCTAACGACGACTCAGCTTTGGTGGTATTAGAGCCTACACTGTCAACGCAGATTACAATGGGCAAGAACTGTACGTCAGTGACAGCGGCGTGATTGGGAAAGGTTGCTGTTCACAGATGAAAGTCGCTATAAATTGTTGCAAAATGATGGCCAAGTCCGTGTTTATCGACATAGGGGGATAGCAACTGTCACCTGACTGCATCCAAGATGTGCACCCTTTGATTAAAATAATCATCATATAGTTAACACCTGTCTTTGTTTTGTTTTTAATATAGACCTACTGAACAAGGTGATATGTTTCTTTTGCCCAGTAGTTTATGTTCTTAAGCAAATATAAATAAGTAACTGGTTTTATGTATACTTGACGCCAAAAGAAACGTGAATCATAGAAACATATAGAGAAGTATGTAGGTTAAGGAGAGATGTTTCCAATGTGTTCCAATTAATGACAAAACTGACAATCTGTCAAGTGTTACCCAGAGTGTCTGTCTTCTTAGCACAATATGCTGCAGGTGACTTCCAGACTTTACACGCTAATCCTGAACAGAACAAATTGTGCATCTCGAGTCAGGGATCTATGACGTCATATGGGTTACATTCATGAGCATCAGTTCACACAACATACCAGTATGTTCGTTTGTGCATCGAACCTATGTAAGATCTCTTGAATATGAGTAAGTCTTCATAAATTAACCAACATATATGCTATTGCATTTCTTTTTGGCATTGAGTAAACACAGATTTATGGATAAAGGTTGCGCAAAGTACATTTACTATACCTGCCCGTTGTGTTTCATTGTGAAAATATATGTGAAATTAAGAACATCATTACTACCGGCAGTACATGTGCATAGAATTAGTGATTGTGACAGATCTTTGTTCATCCCTGTCCCAGAAAATGATGTCATTTACATGGTTAGATATGACCACTAATTGTTGTCAGATTAGCGACTTTCAGTTAGATTCTGCAATGAATATTGAACTGAATGCTTGTTTCTTACATTTGCAGATCACTTTCGGCTACTGGAGCAGTTTCTCCATGTTATTCCTTCTCCTCTTCATCAATGGATCAGCCCAGGTATGACCCTAAGAAGAATGTAAAAGAATACTTGTGATGCCTTCTTTCTAGAACCATTCTGAAGAAAAGTATGGTGAAAACGTGTTTGACCTCGTAGCTCAGTCTATAAGTACCAACTGAAAATGATGTCAACATACATGTTCCTGCTAGTGGACTCAAAAGTTTCAGACTTCTCTTGGCTATTTTGTATTATGTTGAAAATATTTCTAATCTGGTTAGAATAAATGAATACGACCCTTTAATGGATAGCAACTTCTTTTTTTCTTAGTCATGACATTTCAGAGCTACTTCTTGCTCCTTCATCAGGTGAATGCTTAGTTTACACAACACAAGGTGGGATGAATGTACAAAGATAACAATTTATCATCCAAAACTGGCTCCCACAGGAGATATCACTTGGATGAGATCAAACTTGGATGAGATGTTGGATGTTAAAAAAAATCTCACCCTTGTGTCTTTTGATATCAAATATATCAACACTCGTTGATAAAAGTGGCAAAAATCCTCGGCAAGCCTCGGAATGTTTCACTTTTATCAACTTGTGTTGATATATTTGATTTCAAAACACACTCGGGTGAGATTCTCTATATAATGACTTTCTTGAAGTTTCCTCTATTTCCAATGACTGATGTTGGTATGGAGAATCTTGGTTGGCTGTGGGGCGTGAAGTCTCTCCAATTATTTGTGTCCACAGTTGCCTGATGTATAGAGGAAGTGTTTATGCTTAGACTTTGTTGATAAGAACACTCTCAATAAACTCAGATCTTAGTTCTCACTACCACTAAGCATTAATCTGAGGACATCCCGTTTCGGGTCACGTCAGAATGACCTTTCATCCAACCAATCAGAGAATCGCTTACCTGATCAGGAAAGTGACAGTCGGAATGTATTTTCTAATCGTGCCACCTTGAAAGAGTATTAACATTTGAAGAGACTTTGAATAGCCTTTGAGAAGTACTGCCATACCATCTCGTCCATATATTCCAGGATGTTCTTTTGTTTAGTTTTCAAATTTTGAATTGGAGTTTGTCAAAATACATTTCAAAGCGTAGTCTGGAATGAAAGTTTCCAGTGTGAAACTAGTGCCACATATAGCTTGCACAAGCTGAATGACTAAAGTTAACTTCTTGTTGGTCATTTCATTGGTCAGTCAAAGTTCCCAAAATGCCGTTCTGACGTGAACTGTTATGGGATGTTCCCAGTTCCCAGATCTTCATTTAGCGGTAGTGAGAACTAAGATCTGATCATAGTGAAATTGTTGATAAATATATCCTATTAATTAATACACATTTCAAACTTAATTTGTCTAAGGTTGAAGTCTTCTTGCTCAAATTTAAATTGCCAATACTTTTCCTCCAGTGTATCTCCTCATAGTTATCTGACCCGTGAAGATTCTGGGGTAGAATAGGTCTTCAGCAACCCATGCTTGCCGTAAAAGGTGACTATGCTTGTCGTAAAAGGCGACTTACGGGATAGGGTGGTCAGGCTTGCTGACTTGGTTGATGCATGTCATTGATCCCAATAGCGTGGATCGATGCTCATGATGTTAATCACTGGATTTTCTGGTCCAGACTCGATTATTTACAGACCGCTGTCATATAGCTGGAATATTGCTGAGTGCGGCGTTCAACAACCAACCAACCAATCATAGTTGCCTACCATGCATTAAAGTAATCTCAACAATGCCATTATCCCCGTGAAGATTCCGGGGTAGAATAGGTCTTCAGCAACCCATGCTTGCCGTAAAAGGCAACTATGCTTGTCGTAGGAGGCGACTAACGGGATCAGGTGGTCAGGCTCGCTGACTTGGTTGATGCATGTCATCGTATCCTAATTGTGTGGATTGATGCCCATGATGCCCATTGGATTGTCTGGTCCAGACTCGATTATTTACAGACTGCCGTCATATAGCTGGAATATTGCTGAGTGAAGCGTAAAACAACAAACCAAACCAAAACCAACAATGCCATTAAGATAAAACTTTGTATTAATAGCTCTCTAAAATATGAAATGACCCCTCTATAAACATTGAAGAGAGGCATGATCACCTCTAGCGATGTAGTGCATTGCAAGATGCACAAACTAGTGTCACTCCATTACTCTCAGATTAACAGAGTTTCCCTGTAATACAGCTAAAGAATTTCTCCACATATATGTGTCGTTTTAAACTTGACAGAATTTTCCATTTCCTTTTATTTGAACAGCATACATGGAAATGCATGGAAAATGTGTTCTAATCAACTATAAATGGTCATGTTCTTGTTTCGATCTCAGTCCCAATGTTGGCCTAACTGCACTAAAGCCCTGCTGTCGTGGATCCCTGACAACGTCAGAAATGGTGTGTTTGGCATGTTTGGGACATGCGCCTTTGCTGGGGGCATTCTTGGTACTTTGTTAGCTGTAAGTTAACCTTTACTTTCTGCTTATGTACCGGTAGCTGTAAGTTAACCTTTACTTTCTGCTTATGTACCGGTAGCTGTAAGTTAACCTTTACTTTCTGCTTATGTACGGGTAGCTGTAAGTTAACCTTTACTTTCTGCTTATGTACCGGTAGCTGTAAGTTAACCTTTACTTTCTGCTTATGTACCGGTAGCTGTAAGTTAACCTTTACTTTCTGCTTATGTACCAGTAGTGATTTCTACAAGTACAATGTATAAACATACTTTAGAATGCCTCTGGTATTTATGTTGTGAGCAAATTATTTAGAAGAATAACTATTGATCCATCATTTGTTGACTTTTGCTTTGTATAAGGAAGTTTTGACTTCATGTATTAACTAATTTTAATAATTTAATGTAATGATCATTATTGACACTTTTTTTAAATAAAGATTTTTGAACTTATCCTATCTCACAGTATGCATTTATTCCTTCTTCCTCCAGCTTCTAAATTGTTTTCACCTGAACACATCCCAGCATCACCATCCTGACCACCCCAATGAACAGGTCACACACTGTAATCCTGTGCGTTGTGACCTTACCTGACTTCCCCTGCATCATCATTCTCTTTCTCATTGCCACCCTGTGGAGACGTGTATTGAGTTTTAGAGAATACATTTTTTATTTTATTTGCACTACTCAAGTATCGGTCCATTGATCACATTCACTGTTGATGTGAATATTGTCGCTCTTCTTCAAATCAAGGCTCACCTCCAGTGTTGACTTGTTCAGATCAACATTCTCCCAGTAGATCAAAGTTGCTGTCTCCATCTCCAGTTCGTGCGCACCTTACCCCAGCTGTGTTGTGTCAGATCCTACTATGGAGGTCCACCATCTACCCTGCCTTTATCTACCTTCTGGAACCACTGTGACCAGATTAGTATTTTTTCTCCGGACTTGGAGTCCATCTTGCAAGCTGTGACTTCTGCCCTACAGCACCTTTCTGGTCAGCTGATAGTGCCTCCTTGTGAAACTTCTGACTCCTTGTCAACTACTGCTGAGGTCATTCCTCCTAGACCCGCTGCTCCTGTTCGAACCGAATGTTTCTACTGCATAGCCAGATGTCGTCTTGGATCATCAGAAATCCCCTACCTCATCTACCAGGAGCTTCAACAACATCGATCCAGCTGTTGTCCTTCCTTGGATTGCGGATAGACTTCAGTTAAGGCGCAGTACTTCAGCAGATGATCAGCTTTCAAGCTTCGTCGTACCCAACAACGGTTCCTCTGCAATCACACTGCCTCTGAGACTCGTCCTGTCTGAAGTCGCTAGTCATTGGTACAAGGCCTTTGCTACTTTCCAACTGTACGAGATCGACTTCAAACTCCTGGGTTCAACTTAGACGATACTGGGACTCATGGGCTGTGCTCCTGTGGCTTCTACCGCCGTGGCTCCTGAGTTGGATGGTTGCATTGCTACCCTCTGCCTCTGCTACTACTTCTCCTGGGTAGCATCAGGATCTCGCCCATTTGGATACTATCCTCCGGCACACGCTCCCGCTATATTTCTACCATCCTACACATCATAACTCCTCTAGTCTGTCAACTCTCAGAAAGAGAATGATGCAGCAGGGGTAGTCAGGTGATCATGTCGTGTAAGGTCTTAACACACAGGATAACGATGTGTGACTATTTCTTGGGGTGGTGACCATGATCATGCTGGGACGTGTTTGGGTGAAATGTTTTCAGAAGCCTGAAACTTTGTTCCAGCACGTTTTTCCATAGGATAGAAAGAAGAAGGAATAAATGCATAGTGTGGGATAGGATGAGTATATAAATGTACAATTTAATGTAAACTTTACCCTTTCTGTCACAGGTATATCTACAGACCCACTATGGCTGGAGACACTGCTTTACGTTGCCATCGATGATTGTGGTGGGTTACATACTCAATATATACAATACAGTCGTGCCTCATTTATACGGACACTTGCGTCATTTCACAATTCGTCCGTATAAACGAATTTCCGTATAACTGAAACCAGCTTCTTACTGGAAGAGTTACTTCCCTTCAATTATGCAACTCATGACAGATGACAGAGCAAACAGATACATCGAGAATATGCAAAGTCAGAAATGTCCATTTTGCCACCAAAATCGCGAGCTTTCTCTATCAGCATTTCATCATTAACGGGCACATTATGACTTGTCATATCACACAACCAAAGATATAATGCATCTTCCAGCTTCTGGTGTTTTGCTACACGGGATCGTGATCAGTCATTTGAATTTTCCGGGAGATTGAGCCACTTCTGTTTGTCTTTTAAAATGTCACCAATTGTCGATTTTCCTATGGTATGTCCAAATTCAGTGCCACAATGCTAACTGATGGTAGTCCTCCTAGGGAGTCTGGGCTTGAATCGCTTGTTGAAAGAGGCAACTAAATAGATGGATGGGATGGTCACAATGGTGACTTTTTGATTGGGTGTCATATAGTGCCAGACAGTATTGGACATTGCTCATGATATCAGGAATAAAGAATTATTGTCAAAAATGTCTGTGCAATTCATGAGCACCTAATGGGGACCTTGGTAAGAACATCTCTCCATCACTCATGCATGTCATAAGGGATGAATGGAAAGAAGGAGGTGTCAAGTTCTGATTGTGAGTCAAAGTACCAAGACAAACTGGATCGTTGCCTGTGATCAGCCCCAGCTTCTGATTTGTCTGGCCCAGACTGTTAACAGGCTGCTATGATATAGCTGGAATAATCGTGACTGGGGTTTGAACGACATTCACTTTAATTAAGAAGCTAGCGATTAATGCTAAGAATGATATGAATGGATCTTAAATCATTGTAAATCAATTTCAACTTTGGAGATGTTTAAAATGTTATGTCCACCATTTCACATGACATGTATGTTATTGAATATATTTGATCTCGTTCACTGTCAAGGGCGATAGCATTTGTCTTTCTGTGTCACCAGGCTGTCCTTGGCGTTGTTGTGCTGATGTTATTTGTCACGGCGGAAGAAGCAGGTGTCACTGTACCTGGGAAGGGTAATGTATTTTGTAAATCTGGAAATTAATGCATCCCCAAATTAATACGACTGCTGACCCCTAGCCAAAAATGTGACTCAATATCAATGTGACTCCCCCCACCTCATCCCCAGTAGAATTATGCACTTACCTTAACCAATCAAACAGCAAATAGCTCTGATTATTAGTGCTGATTAGAGCATTTCAATAAAAAACAATAAACAGTGTTTTCCTAAAAGCAACACACAGTTTACATGTTTACTCTGTTGACTTAAGGAAGTTTAAAGGCAATCAAATAATTGAACCAACAACAGTTCACTGATTGGTATGCGGAAAAGGTGTCAACAAGCTTGACACGAGTGGGTAGAACTCTCGACCCCAGCAGTGATAACTCACCGGATGCCCATTGTGTAATTCCTATTCTTTGCATGACATTGCTATATACTTGTCACAATAGTTTCTTTAATGAAGGAACGAGTCAGATAATTGAACATTGTTCCCTGGGAAGATGTATGGCAAGATGACGTTAACCATCTCCCATGCTGCAGGTTTATCCCAAACATATGCAAGCCACAGTGTCCGTGCCACAGTAGCCACAAAGTTGTCCCAAGTGGGCATTGATGCCTTATTTATAGCTGTCTCTGCAGGAATGAGCAAACCTCATATACACCTAGTATAGCGTAGGACATTTTGCTCAGCATGCAGCACACTGCAGTCAAACAAACACAACCGCTGTCTGCCGCTTGTCATCCACCAATGTTGTTCCACTGTGACTCCTTTTCACACACCAAGGGGTCCGGGGTAGAATAGGTCTTCAGCAACCCATGCTTGCCGTAAAAGGCAACTATGCTTGTTGAAAAGGCGACTAACGGGATCGGGTGGTCAGGCTCGCTGATTTGGTTGATGCATGTCATCGATCCCAATTGCGTTGATCGATGCTCATGATATCAATCACTGGATTGTCTGGTCCAGACTCGATTATTTACAGACCGCCGTCATATAGCTGGAATATTGCTGAGTGCGGCGTAAAACAACAAACCAACAACCACACCAAGGAGTCACAATTGACACCTACGGTATTATGTAGTGCAACCAACTTGGTAAGCACTTCATTTCATGACTTGCAGTCTGCTAACATTCTCTCTCTCTCGATGGATGGATATATCTGGGTCTTTCATATTGTGTCTCCTGTGAATTAGTATTATCACTTGACAGAAATACCATATCTTGAACCACTTTCATTATTCCACTGTTCATAAACAAGTCTTGAAGTACATGTGCATGTATAAGGCAGACTTTGACAGTCACTTGACCACTACTGTGAGACTTGTTTTATCAGAGCTCCAGATAAGCTGCGTCTCTGCGTAAAATACGCATCAGAAATGCAGAAATATGCAGTAAAATAAAATCCAAGCGTATCAAATACGCAACGAACATTACAGATAAGCTACAAAAATAAAATTTGTGCGTATCATCAAAATATTGTGAAGTAACCCTGCGTATTCGATTAGCAAATCAGCAACTTATTTTGAAATTATAAACGGGCATTCCTTCAACCCTGCCAAAATCCACGATGACAGTTACATCATGATCATTTGCCATCACACTTTCTTGTGGAAGTATCGTGGTATTTTTTAGTCCTATAAAGCTCTCGAACCCACACAACACAAGTTTGCAGGGACTAGATGAATAGCGTTTTTAAATATTTAATTTAAATACCCACATGTGTAAAAACTAGTGGGTAACAGAAATTTGAATACCCAGATAGAATAACTGATACCCAATGATTTTAAAATGCATGGGTAAAATACCCACAACACCAAAAGCTTATTTGGAGCTCTGTTATATCCTAGTTTTTCTGAAAATATGTATTTAGAATATATGTAGAACAACTAATTGCAGTGTATTCTTTATTTTTCAGAACTGAAGACCAATAGTGCAGACTCACCTGTAACTACTGAGAAACCGGGTCTTCTGCAACTGATGAAGATACCGTAAGGCTGCAGTTTGTATATTGTGTACATATAGGGCTGTAATGAATACTCAAAGTGGCAAATATGATACAAATCACGAGTGTGAGGTAACAAATACGACCTATTATTCCTGAATAGTCAGAAAATCCATCCAGATAACAAACTGTTTTAATAAGCTGGAAATGGAACAAAATTAATTTCAGGTAAATGTTTTCTAAAATGTAGAATCATCCATCTCAGAGCCTGTCTACATATTCAGTGGTGAGAGATGCCCTTGTCACAGATGGTTGATACAACATATTGGAGGCTTTTCAACAAATCAATGTTTTGATTTTTGGTGGAAAATGGAAATTTTGATTCAGAAGGTCATAAGTACCAAATACAATGTGAGGGTTGATACTTTTCAATTCACGGAATACTTAAGTGAATCGTAACATGCGTAATATTGTGTCCAATCTTTGAATTGGATATTGGAAGGTTTGATCCCCTAGCTTTGTCATACCAAAAGATATTACTTACTGTTACCCTGCCTGGCGCTCGACATTAATAGGATAAAACAAGGACTGTCCGGCTCAGTTTATTAAAATGTAAGATGTCTGAGAAGGGTATCCATGTAATGATAACCTGAGGCATGGTATCTGGACTAACAAGCAGCCTCTGGAATTCTGATGCCTGTGTTATTTGTTTCAGTGCTTTACCGGAAATTGCTGTGACCATGTTCTGTCTGAAGATTGTGCGTTACTGTATGTACATGTGGCTGCCTATGTATCTCCTACAGCATGTAAGTAGAGAAACCTGGGGTTTGTTTGTTTGTTGTTTAACGCCGCACTCAGCAATATTCCAGCTATATGACGGCGGTCTGTAAATAATACAGTCTGGACCAGACAATCTAGTGATTGACATCATGAGCATCTATCCACACAATTGGGATACGATGACATGCATCAACAAAAGTCGGCGAGTCTGACCACCTGATCCATTTAGTCGCCTCTCACCGCAAGCATAGTCGCCTTTTATGGCAAGTATGGTTTGCTGAAGACCTATCCTACCCCGGATCTTCACGTGTTAGAAACCTGAGATATGTCAAATATTCTTCAGTGGGATATAATATAAGGAACTGTACCTAATTTGGTATATATCAACTAATTCTTCATATCTCAATGACCTATCGAGGATTCAGGGATAAAGGGTTACTATCAGTGTCGGAAATAAAATAAATTGTCAGGCTGCCATCAGGGCCCACAGATTTTAGAAGCTGCAGGCCCTGACTAAACTCATCAGGCCCTCGTTTAAAAAACTGCAGCTTATTTTGATGCGTACCATAAGGACCCATACAAATCTAAAACTATGGGCCTGACACGAGGTCTACCTGCCACAGGCCTATGGGCAGGCACTTATTTTGAACACTGGTTACCATCAGTTGTGCCTATCGATCACCTTGTGAGATCTGCTGGGATGGGTTTCTTGTTTGAAATGAATATATTGACTGAGTCAAGAAAATCAGAGATGGCCAGTAAAAGTAAGCATGCAGCCTACTTTGGATGGACATAATTAAATGTGATGTATTTGCTTCTTAAAAGACACATAGTGCAACTTATATGCATCAACTTACGCTTTGTATGTGTATAGGAAGCAATATTTTGGGGCCAGTAAAACCCTGATTCTATTCCTGTCACAAGGAGCTTGTGAACTGATGAGTAAAGAAATACAAGTGTTGATATTCGTGTTTGAATTCACCTCAACCTTTTCAATCTTGTCAAATATGTCAAGCACACTGCAGTCAATACAAGTAGAGAACCAAGCGTGATCAACATTATACTTCCATTGTATGTAGAAGGGCGTGGAGTCATCTCACAGATGACATCCTCACCTTGTCAGCTTGCTGACGGGGTTAACCTCTTTTGTCTTGTGGACAAGGCATCCGACCTCAGATCCAAAGGTTGATGGTTTGAATCCTGCCATGGGACTCAGACATTTTCTGGTCACTACATTTTTGTACAAGGTTCATTGTCTCCCCACCCACCACCCATAAAAGGTTTATGTTTTTCTATGTTTTTCAACAAAACTTCGCATCTGCATTACCCATCGGCTTAACTGGTGCCTTTTGTTATTTTAATAGTTTTCCAAAGAAAATATTTCCACTTAGTCTCAAACAAGGGTATGGTTTGTTTCCAGGCCATAACTTGAAAACCGTTAAACATATTTCAACGAAACTTGGCATATGTATTGCTCATCAGCTTAACTAGTGCCTTTTGACATTTTTCTAAATCTATATTTTGTTGTTTTCATGGGAACTGTTTTGACTTAGTCTCAAACAACTCTTAGTCTTTGTTGCCGAGCCATAAATCACAAACTATTGACTATTTTTCTTGAAACTAGACTGGTGACAACTCTGCAATGACCACATGTTCAACTATGGGCTTTTCATATTTTTCAATTGATATTGTTGCGTTTCGATGGAAAAAAATTGGAAATATACTTGCAAGTTTAGTAGTCTTATCTGCCATAACAAGTCAACATGGCATCTACTGTAATTATGCTTAATCAATGCCTTAATCAGAATCGGCACTAGTATTATTTATATTATTGTTTCTAGGATTTGGAAGCACGTTTATATTAACAACTTGAACTCATGTATCAAAAATAAAGAGGGGAGACATCTGTTTTTATGCGTAAAAACACATTCCAGTGGGTATATAGATGTTATTATTACTGATGAAATATTGATTGTTTAATATCAGTCTCATCTTAGTATTTGTCAGGCTTTCATTATGTGCCATTTTACATATTTCTCAGCAAACAATCATTTCACAAAGTTAGTGAGTTTAGATCTAATTTTCAGTTAAAATATTCTCCAAGTCTGGCTGGTGTTTGCTCAACAACATTTGAAGTCGGTGGAGTCATAGGAAGTGCCCTGTTAGGCGTCATACTTGACAGGTAAGCTCCCCACACTCAGGACTAGTATTTCACCCATATGCAGAGGTTGAAATGTTTTCACAATGCTTTCTGAACAATGCTCACAGGGCAAGTTTCAACTTTTCAGTCACTTAATATAAATAGTTTGTGATGCTAATGAGATGATGATGAAAGTTGTTGTTTTTTAACACATTTGTGCTTTGCAACAAAAATAGATATATATATCTTTATTATCATACACCTATCAAGATATGTGAGTTTTTTTAATGTGGGATAAAGTCAACATAGAGATGGTCGTATCACAGAAGGTGTAATAACCACACCCATATTAAACACCCTGCCGGGCTGATACGACTTGTTCCTGCATTTTGAATGGGCGAATGATATCAGCCCATGGGGTAAGAAAATGGAGTGGAGTGACTGCTTGGCTTGGCTTTCCCATGACAGAGTCTTGCAAGCAAGGTGAAAATGTTTGGCATTCATTTGCGAATAGATACATTTTACAATTTGATGTTCTGGTACATGAATTGGGGGGTCTTTGGTTGATATACAAACTGCCCTATAATAACCTGTACTGATCAAACTTCATTGTTATGTTGTAGATATTTTCCTGGGCGATCTCTACACGGCACGTGGCTGTCCATTCTTCTGTCTACAGTGTCGCTGATTCTCTTCCTTTATACAAGCTCAATGGGGAAGGTTGTAAACTCCGTGTTCATGTTCCTTGCAGGAGCATTCAACGCAGGGCCAGACACCATTTTAGGTAACATTTGTATGATATTTGTACAGATAGATATTTAAACATGGTGTGAATGTACGAGTTACACTGTGTTCGAACTCTCTCAATGTTTACACAGGATGGTAGGTATTTTGATAGATGACAGTCTGGGAAGGCAAACATGTTCAAGGTGATGGTGTTTCTCCGCACCCTGGCAGAGTGTATTGTTGATCACGGTGAGGTAGTCTGGCTGTTGAGGTGTTCACTTATCACATCTGGTACAGTTCCTCACATGGGTACAATGTGAAGCCCATTTTTTTTCCCCGCCGGGCCAGAATGGCCGAAGGGGGATTATGTCGTGGCACAGTCCGTCCGTCCATCTGTCTGTCCCACAGTGGGTACTAAGCTTGTGAAATCAACTCCTCCTACAGTTTCCAGAGAATATCCCTGAAAGAAGATGTCGACATGTTGATGATATGCATTTCGCAGTCCCGTTTCATTTCGACTAATTTTGACAGAGTTACTTCCCCTGTTTTACGGAGCTTCATTTGCTGAATTGTGAGAGGGTACTAAGCTTGTGAAATCAACTCCTCCTCCAACTTTTAGAGAATATCCCTGACACTCTACACACAAGATGTCGATATGTTGATGATACGCATATCGCAGTTCCGTTTAATTTCGACACATTTTGACAGAGTTACTGCCCCTGTTTTACGGAGCTTCATTTGCCTACCGTATTTTCTTGAGTATAGTGCGCACTTTTTTTCGAAAAAACACAGCTGTGTAGAAAGGGGTGCGCATTATACACGAATTATGAGTTTGGATGTTTTTTCCCCCATGGAAAGACATTGCCGTGAGCACGAAACACCGGGAATACCATGTCAACAAATCCATACTGAAGTACGCAAAATAATTATGTAATTACACTGTCTGGCTATAAAAAGTGTTCTTTGTATATCTGGACTTATGTTTGTAACTTATTTCATTGATTTTATTCAAAATTCCTTATAATCTGATAATATTGTTTTTATTAATTTCGGCGAAATCGTGTGTGAAGCGATCGGAAGATCGCACAACTCACCGTTATTAACAGCAACCACGGTCAGAATACCGCTATTGACGCCTTGAAACAAACTTTTGTTGACAGAGAATGGATACATATATCATAAATGACATACTTTGACTTGTTAAAAGTCATATTTGTTTTTGTTTGACGATTCTATGTCAACATGAAATTCTCGCTATCACGTGATCATGTGCGCGTGAGCCTTGACGGTGACTGGTCAGACATGTTCCATGTAAAAAATGGTAATTGTGAGAGAGGGTACTAAGCTTGTGAAATCAACTCCTCCTACAGTTAGAATGTGCACATGTTTAATATATCCATATCCCAGTCATATTAATTTCTTTTCATGTTGAGAGAGTTACTGCCCTTGGTTTATGAAGCTCAATTTGCCCAACTGTGAGAGAGGGTACTGTTTTTGTGATGTCAACTCCTACATTTTTCAGGGAATATCCCTGACGCTCTAAACACATGGCATTCTACACACAACATGTATTGATACACATATCGCAGTCGTTATAAATTTGATTTATTTTAACAGAGTTACTACCCTGGTTTATGATCCTCATTTTTGTCAACTGATACAGGTACAACTTTGTCTCAGGTAACAACCATTATAAAACAATGTCATTTAGTCTCTGTTGTGAAAATGTCACAATATCTAACTATAGTTAGTTTCCTTGTATAAGGCTTTTGTGGGTGAGCTACATCCTTATGGCATTAGCATTCAGACTGGATTACACCCAACAAAACGTTCTGCACAATTTGTTTCAAATGCAGTGCCATCTACTGTTGTTATTTCATAAAATACAAAGAAAATATAAACTCTTTAAAAAAATTCATGCGGGGGATGTTGAGCTCTCAGAGCACTCTTGTTGATATTGAGGTGTCTTGAGGGTCCTGATGGGGTATACTGTTTAATTTAAAACTATTAAGAAAATATTGTGTAAATGTATAAATTGTCCACAAAAAACTGCTTGGTGTAAATTAAAACTTTACTCTGTATCGTAATTGTGCTAATATATCGTACAAGTCAACACAGTCAGTGTTAGGTACGTCTGAAATATGAATTACAGTAATGAAACAAAAGTAGAACCAGCTGTTCCCTTGTTTCCCTTCAGACAATGATCTGCATTCGCTAATTGATGATTTCCCTCCCCAAGACCAGTGTTCTGCCAAGGCAGCTAATCTGGTTTAGTGACTATATGTGGTTGCAGCATAACTCAGGAAGAAATACTGCAACATGTCAGCTTTGTATAAATCATGTGAAATCTAATTCAATAACAAAGCTGCATTTTAATTTTATGACAAGTACCTTAAAGAGACATGCTAACGGCAGAGATTACAAACAAACTATTGAGGCTAATTAAATATGACATCGGACATTGTTGCTGCAATACGTAATATCTGAGAAAGATGCCATCTGAAAATTTTGTGTATCGCTAAGGTTACTTGTGGATGGCAATTCTGCATCAACAACCTGCATACTATGGGGTTTTAAGTTATATATGTTCTCTCAGAGTGCGGCCCCATAAGTTTTGAAAATGACCCCATGTAGTTATGCTGAAGGGTCCTTGTCAGTTTCTTGGCAGAACACTGCAAGACTTTATTATTTTCAGAGGGGCATGGGTGGTCCAGTCGTCTGAGGCGCCGCTATTCACTGTGCAGAGTTGCGTCCCTTGGGCACACAGAAACCTATGATTGTGGGTTCGAATCCCAGTTCGCCCTGATTATGTTTCTAGATTTGTCAGCACCATATCCATGCTCGTGGGTTTCACCAAATTGGTAAACATCTGAGTCCTGCATCACCTCGGGCTTTCCTCCTACATTAATCTGACACACTGATATAACTGGAATAATGTTAAAAGCGGCGTTAAACCCAACTCTCTCACTGTTATTTACAGGTTGCTTTAATGTTTCACTGTAGCAGCCAGGAGAATTCTTTCAGCTTCACATTAAATGATAGATTATCTGCATTAAAGTTATTTGATGTATGTTTTACATTTCAGGAGGTGCCATACCACTGGAGTTGGGAGAGAGAGACAACCGTAAAGCAGGAGCAGCTACAGTCGGTCTTGTCAATGGTATTTTACATTCACTTGTACTTCAGTCTAGTAATAGCTAATCAAGTTATACAACAAGTTATACGTTCAAGTTACACAGGGGGCAGTCGGGTAGCCTAGTGGTTAAAGCGTTCGCTCGTCACGTCGAAGACCCGGGTTCGATTCCCGACATGGGTATAATGTTTGAAGCCCATTTCTGGTGTCCCCTGCCCTGATATTGCTGGAATATTGATAAAAGCGGCGTAAAACCATATTCACTCACTCACTCAAAATATACAGCACCAACTGTTTCTGTTCACAGTGACATGAAACAGAATTGCTTTAAGGTTTTTGATGGATTTTACCTCCTCATCAGTGATATGTCTGATGACTACTACACAGTGATCGTTGACACTGGAAATTATCCTTCCATGCACTTCATCCAAATGGCCCTGGGGAATTTTTTTGGTAAATGTCAAGGTCGAGGTCAAGAGATGGAAAATAATTCAAAGAAAAGTTTGTGGTTAACACACTGGGATGGTGGGGATGGATTTCATTTCTGGAACACAACTCAAAGACCATTCAATATCTGTCAACAAAACTTGGCAGATACATCAAACAGATCCTGAAGTGGTACCTCTGCAGCCAAGAAACGTTATATTAGTATTTAAAATACTTATCCTACAATATCTGTTGGCAGTGCTATGTCTGTCAAAGGTCAAGGCTATCAGTGAGGTTATTGTGAAAAATGGTTGTATCATTCATTGCCAAGACTGTTGCACTTTACTTGTACAATCCTGAGATTTGGTAAGAGTTGTCTTTTTTAAGATCAATGTCTGTAATTATTTCTTTTGGAAGAAAGTACATGGCAGTATTTCATTAATTTAGAAGTTTTGAGGAAATGTAGGTGGAGGGCCTGTTTTCTGTTTCTGCAAGCACATGTAAACAGCTTTCTTTTCTTAAGATATTTTGGGGCGGTCAGGTAGCCTAGGGGTGAAAGCGTTCGCTCGTCACGCCGAAGACCCGGGTTCAATTCCCGACATGGGTACAATGTGTGAAGCCCATTTCTGGTGTCCCCCGGCGGGAATATTGCTAAAAGCGGCGTAAAACCATACTCACTCACTCTTAAGATATTTCCAAAAGACAGAAGACTGTTGGATGTGTGAAGGAATAAAGTGTCAAGTTTTATGTTTGATGAATAATACAGTACGTTTAGACACCATGTTATGGACTCCAGCACCAATACAGCTTTGTGTAAGTGTGTAGTAACTGCTGCTGAGACCAATAAACTTTATAACAGTTTTGAAGGCGTAACAGCATACCTGTTAATTTCTCTTCTCTTTTGCTTGCTATTGTCTGTGATTGTTTTCTAGGTTTCGGGAGTGTTGGAACCTGCATAGAAGGACCAGTGATAGGCCTGATATCAAGCATGTATGGCTGGGCGGGGATGTTCTACCTGATGATTGGTCTGTCAGCTGCAGGAGTTGCTGCCAACTTCCGTGCTGCTCGCATATATCACAGAGGCCAAGACACTGCATCTGAAAAGATGATTGTTTAACAGGAACATTTTTTAAATATTGTATTTTTAACATGAATCTTTTACTGTATTTATTAGATTAGACATAATGACGTGTGAACCAACATACGGATATTATTGTTATTTTTTATTTCCTTTATATGCTAGGGGCATGGGTGGCCAAGTCGTCTAAGGCACCGCGATTCGCTGTGCAGAGTAGCGTCCCTTGGGCATGCCAGAAACCTTGTGGTTGTGGGTTCGAATCCTGTATCGCCCCGATTATGTTTCTAGGTTTGTCAGCACCATATCCGTGCTCGTGGGTTTCACCGAAGTGGTAAACGTCTGAGACCTGCATCACTTCGGGCTCTCCTCCCACATTAAGCTGACACGCCGTGATATAACTGGAATACTATTAGAAGCGGTGTTAAACCCAACTCACTCACCCCTTTATATGCTATATATTCAGTAAATTCCCACTTACTACTAATCTGTGATTACATAAACATGTGCTTTTATGAAATCCTCCACTAACACAATCATGATGCTTTGGAATTATGAGTTTATTTTGCAATATTTGTGTAATATTTCTTTTAGGACAATAACCCACCCATGCATCCTTGTTTGTATCTGTTTCGAAAGCAATATCTACCATAATTTATGACATATTGTAGTTGTATAAAAAGTTTTGTTGTCTAAAGCTTGACAACTAAATCTCTATAATGAGATTGGAATCCATATGGTATATGGTATGAAGAACAAGATGATAATAAACCTTTTTAACCATTTTTATGCTACTATTGTAGAAATATCAGAAAGCATTATTTTATGTTTAAAATGTGTTGAAATTGTAAATATAGTCTATTTATTTTGAGATGTTTGCAAAGACTTCAGCAGCAGCAAAGATTTGAAAATGTTATTGTCTGCTCGTTCTGTCATCAGTACAAACAAATTGTTGCAGTTCAGTTATACCAGTGATTGATACATTCAGTAACATCATGTCATAACAAAATGTGTTAAATTAAATAGATTACAACACCTTTCATTTAGCCAGCAATTAGTGCACCATTGAGAACATCTGTTATGTCTTGAGATACATTTTGCGAGTAACTTTCTGCCTTTTAGCCCAGCACTTTTCTAGATAAATAAGTCAAAACACAGAAGGCCAAAAAATGTTGCTCAGGGTTGAATGAGCATTAGATATTATACTCGTTTTATTTCCATAAAGAGACCTTGATTTGAATGTTAATATTTCCATTAAGTGATATATTATCAGTTGAACAGAGATTTGTATCAATCTGTATGGTTTGTTTTGTTTGTGGTTTGGTGGGGGGTTCAATTGAGCAAAAATTAGCGTACGTCTCATCTGTGAAACAAGAAATATATTAGTCTGGAGATTATGAGAACTGCTTCCAATAATGGTTCCATTTCAGTTCTAAAAGAAATAGAAAATATTTCTAAATTGTCATATTCGTACATGGAGGTCTTTTGATTTGGAGAATTGCTAAGATTTGACAGAACCTGCTTTTAATGCATTTTATCATCATACATTCATCATAGACTTCTATCAACTGAGTTTCATAACTAAGAAAGTCATGTGTCTTCCATAGTAGACAAGCATGGGTTGCTGAAGACCTAGTTTAACCCAGATCTTCCGGGTGGTTCGTATCTGAGACATATCCTTCCTGTATATGATAGATCTTACTAGGACATGCACAAGAACTAAAAACTAACTCTGAGGAGTGATATCTGTGCTCAAGGGCTAGGATAAAGGGGAAATCAGAATTAAGCAAATTTGTAATACTGGCAGCATGACATTGCATTACATCATAGCCAGCATGTCATATGATATGTATATCTCATCTTGGGACCTTTGTACATTCACGCCTCAAAGTAGAGAATCTGCCACAGTTTGGAGGCCCACCTGCCATAGTTCGGAGTCCAACGTACTTACTGCTACGTAATTGGGTGATTGATTGATTGCCTAACATTCGTACCAGTTATCTTTCCTGGACTGGTAGGTGTTGATAAAGTTTTTGAATAAGCTGTTTGATCAATTAGATTTTTATCTTTTCCAGCCAACAACTCTATATTTCAGACAGCTTTTTATGAACTTGACAGAATATACAGACATTGCACGTATTAAGCCCATGGCCTAAAAATAGGTTTTGGAAGTAAATATTTCATCCAAAATTTAGCCCTCGACTTTAACATGGAAAATATGCAAACACGACTAAAGAATATATTTTATTCAATTTTAATGAATTAACTCTTTTCAAATTAAAATGACAATGCTCCACTTAAACATCATTAAATACAATGGAGGAGACCGAAGTATCTTGAGGCTATGGAAGCCTCTCACAACGCTAACAGTCTGAAGTTCGTTACTGTAGTTCTCTATGTTATACTGTCACATTCCACGTGTTTTGGAACATCTGCTAATGGAAGGATCGCTTGAAATTGATTTCTTAATTTAAGCCCATGCGCTAAAAAGCAAGAAAAATACCAGAGGAAGGATTTGATTTCACAAAGACATGTAATCCTGGGTATCATATCCTTACTTTTCACATAAAATAATTGTGGATGTGTGGGGTTTACCAAGTAGAAATCTCCCATCTTGATTTCAAGTGGTGTTCATCCGTGCTATGGACAAATCCCCTCCATGTTCACGAGGTCGGTAAAGACCTCCATAGGAAAACCACCCACAAAATGAATGACCCAGCCTTCGTTTAAACTAATCCTGCCAAGCACCCTTACATCTATCAACTGCACTGTAATATGTGTGCATAACACAGCTGTGTTTGATTAGGTGGATTTCACAGTTCATGGTACTTTGTTCGCTTGATTCAAAGAGTGTCCTTGTATAAATAATTATGCGATGTGCCTTTGTTCTTGCTGTGTTTGTGACCGGTATTATTTCAGAAGGTCTTGTATCTATGAATGAGGGCTGTATTTTTGTGCAACTTTACATGCATACATTGTCAGGTCTCTTTTCCTTTTTCATGAATCAGAATTGATACAATACCAGCAATGGTTTTGTTGGAGGGTGACATCAGCAGCATTTATAGACAGGTACAGTTTGCAAATGTACTTGAAAGGTTTACTTCGTAAGATTTACATCTCAATACTGAATGAAGTGCATAAGTGCCATTGTTGAATAAAATACATCAGTAGTTACTGTGTGTGTTGTGTTTGTTCTTCAAGCTAATCTTCCAGTAGTTTCTGATTCTGGGGGGACCAGGGTTAGAGTGTCCTTGGCACCTCAATACCATGAGGTGAGGTGAAATGGGGTTTAACGTCGCATCCAAGATTATTGCACTTATATAGCGACGTGCATGTACGTGTGTGTGTGTGTGTGTGTGTGTGTGTGTGTGTGTGTGTGTGGCTGCTTGTACTAGTCCGGACTGATGCCGATTTATAGTGCTAGCTCACTGAGATACCATGCAGCAGTTTAACATGAATACCCCACTCAGACACAGTATACTGACTCCGAGCCGACCAGTCCTTGTTTTAGCCCCTTAATGCCGAGCGCCAGACAGGGTAATAACAAGTACCATCTATTAACGTCTTTTGGTAAGACGCGGCCGGGGATCGAACTCCGGACCTTCCGGTCTCCGGGCAGACGCTCTACCACAAGACCACGGAGGCCTCAATACCATGGGAATTGGCTGATTATGTTATTGTAAACACATGTAGAGGTTCACTTTTCATGTCGTCAGCCACTGGTTTGTTTGGTCCAAACTTGGTTATCTACATGCAGCAATAAAATGGCAGGAATATTGCTGTCTGAAGTGTTAGATAACATTCACTCACTTTCAATATCCATCTCCAAGCTATCTTGGAAAGAATCTCCAGAACGGAATCCATGGCGGAAATGGTACCTCTTAAATTTGCTGATTGTAAGAGGCAATTTCAAATGTTAGCTGAAACAAAATTAGTTCATGATTTATGATGAACGTCAATCCACATTGCACAGATATCAGATAAACATTCCGGAAACATTACATCTTTCATTCCTACAACTGATGATACCAAGATATTAGAAGAGACGAAACATATCTTCCAACCTAAAATTATGTATTAATTGACAAATTAACACCATGACGGGTAGAATGAGATCTAATCAACTAGCCCCCGTCAGGTTTGGTTCCAATAAACACTGCATTTGTAAGGCTACAAAACAGCAAACTGTTCAAGATTTTGTTAGACCACCTCTTTTCCTAATACATGCTTTAATGCTGCGAGGAATATTGTCTATCAAGGAAGTTAGAAAATCATGAGTCGTACTGTCCAAATATCTCACCACTTCTACTTTCATATTATATATATCGTTAGGTTACTTTTGATTGATTTTGTCCTTCATGATTCCACAAATATTTTCAATTGGGTTCAGGTCCGGACTGTAGCTGGGCCATTCCGGGAATGTAACATTTTGCTCCTTAAACCATTCCTGAGAATGCTTCTCTGTGTTTTGGATCATTGTCTTGGTGGAATACCCACCTGTCACCATACAAAACTTGTGCTGTTGGAAGGCATGTCCCTGTAGAATATCAGTGCACAAGTGATTTTACCTACATATACACATAATGGTGTGGCAACCAACACAGACAGGCCACCCCACATATGAATTAAGGACAGTACTTTCGATACTGGTGAATTGTTTTTTCTGTACCTTTTATCCAGTTTGGATATAGCCACACTGAACTTCCATCTGAGAACATGACATTGTCCCAATTGGAATTTCTATGCTCCAAACACCAGTTCAAACGTCCTTCTTGCTGTTCAGGTTTTAGGAATGGTGATGGAATTCTTCATGCTTTCCGTCAATCTATTGCATGCAAATACATTCTTATTGTCTCTTTCCAAACATAAAAAGCAATATTTTCACAGAAAATCCACTTATTGAAATCAAACCTTGCACTTCACTTCTCCTTTTGGTATACAAACTGAACTCCCAATTGGAAAGGAATCCATGAAGTAGTTTTCAAGTTATAGGTAACACAAATGTTGAAGTAAAAAAGCAAAGTTTAAAACGAAAACATCAGATATTCATAGAAAAAATTCATTATGTACAAGCAAACGTTTCATTTTCAGATATTTAAAGTTACAGAGACGCTAAACCTTAGATTAATCCTTGCAAAGTTAAAAACATCGGAAGTCTTGGGGTTGGATGTCGGAACTGTTTGTTTGTTGTTTAACACCACACTCAACAATATTCCAGCAATATGACGACGGTCTGAAAGTAATCAAGTCTGGACCAG